GGGGGGGGGGACATTTTGTGAGGGCCAGAGGTGGGTGAAACTGACAAAGACATGGCCAACCCTATCACAGTATTGTCGTATTTAATCGATTGTCAGATTTATCCTTCGTCTAGTTGTAGGTTTTGATGAAAAGATACATGAAGTTTTAAAATGCGAAAAAGTGTCTTAAATCGAGGAAATGCTTTAAACGTGAAGTAAAGCTGTCCCACTATGCGCCATGTAGGCGCTTGGGGGGAGGTGGTCAGCATCACGCCCCCAGAAAATGCTGTAAATAGTGACGTAAAATAGGCCACGCCCAATTCCTTCTTACATTTATTCCACGTTCCCAATCAATCTTACTGTCACCAGTCCAAAGTTGTTATTTTTTGTAGTTAATTGCATGAGCTGGGTAAAGGAACAGATTTTCACGAGTATTCAGTCAATATTCAAAACATCGTATTGAATCTTTGAAATATATTCCTCCTTCACAGTAAGAGAACACTTTTCACACTCACAGAGAGAATTGGGAATATTTTTGTCTTTGCAGATCTTGTTCTTTGGTGCTTCAGAATGAGCCCTTATTAAAAAAAGTCAAAAAACACTGCAGCTGTAATTTTGTTTTGTGAATCTGTGTGTGTTACAAGCCTCGGTATATGAAGGGGCTTGCGTGTGGTATGAAATTCCTCACTGACATCTTTTCGATATTAAAACAGAGTAGCAGTAGAATGAAGTGAACAGATATACGTTAATGTACTTACGAGCTTTCGATTTGATCGACATCCTCACATAAATCCTTTCTCAACAAAGAATGACTTACTAACACAATGTTGACCATTGTTGCTAGGCAACATAAGATTTTGTAACAATGATATTCAGTGCTGTTTATTATTGTCACAGAACCTGCCTACCCCAGCAACGAGTAAACAATTGAAGTATGGATTTGGAAGGAAGCAGCGAGTGCAAGAGTGGATTAAAGTCAAATTAAAATTTGAGAGATAATGAACAGTTGTAACGTCTGTCTTCGTGTAACATCGAAGTTTTGCGAAAATTGACATGCTTTGGTCCATGGGTGGGCAATTATGTTTACTCGGAAGCCAGATGGTGCAATTTTTGAAACTAAAACAGCCCACGGGGACCTTGCTAGAAAAATTCTGTGCTTCAAAAAGTAACAAAGATATATCAATCGTTCGTGCTGGTTGAACATGGCTGATAAACCCATGTAAAAATACAAACGTAATGTTATTAATAATTATTTTGGCACTATCCTGAACTCTGATTGCTCGAATCATGAATTAAAAGTAATACGGAGAGCTGCAGATTAAATTTTAATCTAAATACAAGTAGGCTCATGTTTGGTGCTTCAGAATTGGTCCTTATTTAATAAAAAAATACGTCTAAAACACTGCAGATGTATTTATTTTTTTGAATCTGTGTGTGTTACAAGCCTCGGTATACGTTAATGTACTTACGAGCTTTCGACTTGTAGTTTGACATCCTCACACAGCTCTTATCACACTCCGTTTACCTACTGATTCTCAACAACGAATGACTTACTAACAAAATGTTTACCCACTGTTGCTAGGCAACATAAGATTTTGTAACAATGATATTCAGTGCTGTTTATTATTGTCACAGAACCTGCCTACCCCAGCAACGAGTAAACAATTGAAGTATGGATTTGGAAGGAAGCAGCGAGTGCAAGAGTGGGTTAAAGCCAAATTAAAATTTCAAAGCTTTAAAAGACACTCAACTGTTAATAAATATTCCGAGTGTTTATTACAGCCTTTCGTGAATTATTACATAACTTAACCTCACTTTTACGCCGTTAACTCTGGTTTGAAAATTGGCAAGTAATTATTTTGTTTTACTTAACAGAGTTGCCGAAGCGCTCATATTTATGTACAAAACCTATGGTCTGGTTGATTCCGGAGACCCAAACTTTTGTTCTCGCATTCAGCTGCATACTAAAATTTTAGGACCTTCCACTGAATGCCACATGTACTGCTGTAAAATATACTAGTCCAACTTTTTTCTTCCTTTGAGGCAAAAATAATTCTCACTGGACACAAGTGCAAAGAATCTTCTCTTGGCACTATTTTTAAAAACTTTTTTTATCCTTAATGGTACTTTCTCATAATCGACAAATTACTACAGTGTACAATTTAATGAGCATTTTATTCAAATGTGCACATTTCATTATGGAATTATATATTATTTTAAGATTTCTCCTTTATCTGCCTGTACATGACACAGTTGTTATTTTCAAAAATTGCAATTTTACCATAAGGTTTCAGTCTGGCACTGTGGGGAAGTCTTTGCGATTCTACCAAATCAGACAATGAAATAAAAACAAAATGGAACATAATAAAAAGGGAGACGGGAAAAATACATTTTTCAGAACAGATGCCATCTCTTCTAATAAACAATGAAAAAGTAAAGGATCCAGGAACAGTGGCTAATGCCTTCAATTAGTTTTTTCTAACAATTACTGAAAGCTTAAATTTAAATGAAGATGCTGTTTCCATTTTAAAAGCTGCATTTCCTGTAAGATTTTCTGGTCTTAATATAATTCCAACCAATGAAACTGAGGTGAAAAGTGTAATAAGAAAACTCATCAGGTTATGATGAAATAACAAGTAAAATTTTGAAAGTTTGTTCAGCTTTAATTAGTCGTCCATTAACCCAAATTTGTAATCACTCATTATACACGGGCATTTTCCTGGACCGCCTTAAAATATCAGTAGTAAAGCCACTGTAAAAAAAACTATTATGAAAAATTACAGGCCAATTTCACTATTAATTAATTTTTTAATGTGTTTGGGAAGGTTATGTGCTGGTCCCAGAACAATTTGGCTTCAGGAAAGGTGTATCCACTGAAGATGCAATATTCAAACTAACAGACAATGTGCTAAAATCTGTTAACCAAAAAATGCATGTTCGAAGATTTTTCTGTAATCTAGCAAAAGCTTTTGACTGTGTAAATCTTGAAATTTTGTTGGATAAATTGCATTTTTATGGCATTCAAGGAATAGCAGCGCAATGGTTCAGATCCTATTTAACAGATAGAAAACAAAAGGTCGAAGTGAAAACACCTAAAAACAAATGGAATTTTTTTCTTAAATTGGGGAACAAGAAAACATGGAGTTCCCCAAGGGTCAATTTTAGGTCCCTTGCTTTTTATAATATACACAAACTTATTTACTGATCATTTTACATATAGGTTACATTACCCTTACTCTTACCATTCCTGAGGGATGAACGTTTGAAGGTGACTCGGCGCTGGATCTGACATCTTCGTAACTAACGCTGATTTGCCGAATGACCCTTCCGTATAGACGTATTTACGTCAAAAACAATATCCGTATCATTGATGGAGGATGCAAGGGTGTTGAGATGCAGGAATTGGAGTTTGGTGGCGCAAGACAGAAACAGATGACGGAGGGTCGTTGAGGAGGCCAAGGCTCACATCAGGCTGTAGGGCCAAAGAAGAAGAAATGAAGAAATCACTGGCTGAAGTGTTTAGGCTGTTTGGACCTGTTCCATTTTGCCGTCCTTGTGGTCCTGAGTGCATATAGGACCTTCCAGAATTCCAGTTATCGTTTCGGCGATGTTGATAAGGTGGCCTAAGCGGCACATAATCCCGCCTGACTTGGCCCTGTGGCCGTGGCCTGTTGTTAGGAGCACCGCGTACTTCAATAAGTGCTCGGACATGCTCAAAACTCGAGCCCTTTTGTTATCGATACTGATAAATCGAACACTTCACGATACTCTGCTTCCTTGCCGGCCAAAAGTTCCTCTTGAACGCTAATTTGAACTGCTCGTAGTCTCAGAGATTGGGAGCAATAGCGGACAGCCAATTGACTGCGATGGGGTCGGTAATGGCTTTGCGAGAGATAGCGAGCTGGAATCGAACCGGTACCGCTTTCAGCTTCATAAAATCGTCTAGCTGCTTCAAGAAGAACAGAACACTAAAAATAAAATAAAAATAAATTAGGAATGCAGAGATTTGAAGTTACATAGAATTAAGTATAGTAGACATCTGAATGTAGGAATGTGTTGATGTCATTTCCTGGCATTGAGTAAAATGGCAAAGGCTAGCTCAACTTTCTCTAAGTGGAAACCGTGGTATTGTTTTTTATATGGCGTGGTTCATCTGACCTTCGTTCTAATATATAAGAGTAATCTGATAAGAACATCTTCAATAAAATGCATAACATTTTAAAAGGATTGTAATTCGAGTTTTAAAATTTACCAATCTAATTTATACCTGAGGACGGTTAAATATAACCGAAACATGTCGTAAAAAACGTTCCAATTTGTAAATCGATCATTTGATGCGGAACGTGAAATTATATTTTATATTTTATCATCTTATTAAAAATTGTGATTTGACGGAAAATATTAAAATATTAACTTAATTCACAATATGACACAAATATACTACCTTGTAAACAGAGTGTTGTTGAGATAGAGTGAACTAGCCTGCGTTAGGAATGTAATGTTTAACACAAATGTAAAATTTATGCAGTACTTAGTGTTATAAATAAATGGTGTGTAAAAGTGGTGTATATTAGTTAAAATGCAGTAGCTGCGAGCAGGTCTATATTGGCCAAACCGGTAGGGAATTTCAAACCAGATTTAAAAAGCATGTCCACAACATTAGATTCAACGTAACAAACTCAAAATACGCTCAACACATCCTCGACCACAGACACAAATACGGCCCCCATAGAAGATATCATGGACATATTAAAAATAGCCTCAAAAGGCAAAATGCTTGACATTTTAGAAAAATTCCACATTATAAAACTAGCAGAAAGGAAAACATCATAAATGAGCAGAACACCCACAACTCCAATGAAGTTCACAGGCACAGAGATTGCAACGGCGGCTCACCGTAGACCAACAACGGCCAGTGGACATAAAGCTAAGTACTCAATTTAGATAATACACCAACTCTTGTGCAATTAACATCCAGTGTGGTATTACATAAAGTATGGTTTATAACAAACCATTGCCTTATGAATTGTATGATTTAATATGAATGAATTCGTTTGCCACTGATGATGACCTCTTGAGGTTGAAACACATTAAAAGTGATAGTGGAACCACGGTTCCGGAGAATTAGACGTAAATACGTCTGTACGGAAAGGAAGTTTGTATATTGGCTTTATTCTAAACATTTCCTTTATACATGCTTTACAATTGTGTGAAGTTTGATTAAGACATTGCTTATTTAACTTGAATTAGTTACACTTAAGATGGGTCTGTGGTAGCTGAATGTAATGTAATGAAATGTTTTATAGGTAACAACAATGCCGAGTAAACAATTGACGTTTCCAAGGTAACATAACAATGCAGTTACACTTTTTCATTCCACTTTTTGCCGAATGACACTGACCCTAAAATATAGATGTATTTACGTCAAAAAATGGCACTAAGTGTCTTGTCAGTTTAGTTTGAATGCATGATTTTATATAACAACACATGCACGCGAGGGACGATACTGAGGAGTCGCCTGGAGACAGTGACTGTAGTTTGGATTATTATAATAGTAAATCTGTACTAGCAACAGAAATACAGTGCGGCTGATTCAGTGGGGAAAGAAAACCTGTATTGGACACGGAGAGAAGAAACAGGTAACGTTTCAGTAATAATGGTGATTGTGAATGTGTACTACCTTATTCCACTCAGTAAACTCACCGGCTGATAAATGCCTTATCAACTTGCAACAGCAGTTCCCACCTCTTGTTGACCTGTTCCAGAATCTCCTTTATCTCTTCTGATGGCAACCTGATCACACTCGACACTCTCAGCTGATTCTGAGGGAACAGGTACAGCTGAAATAAAAATAATACACAACTACATTAAAACAATCTCACTCATATTTGACAGCATACTGATGGAAAAATATATTTGTACAGTACTACATGCAAAATCTGACATATCAAGACCATTCCTGATAGCCATTTGCACCAACTGCTTTTAATGGCAAGATGGCCAACACTGGTTGATATTCGAAACAGACACCTGCAAACTAAAATCAAAATAAATGGTGGTGACAGTTTGACATTTCAGCATTCCACTTTGTTCACAACTCGCCTGCTTGCATAATTCTGCAAACCAGTTTTTCTATGTTGCATCTTTCCATTATACTTTTAAGAACAAAGAAACAAACACCCCAATTAGTTGATTAATCACATTTTATTGACAGGATATGCAGGTAAGTGGGTAGAAATCTGGGGTACTCCACACTGTTAGTACTTTAAACTTACGACATAATCTCTGTCCTGACACATGAGCTCTGCAGGAACGCCATTAATGCTACTAGCTATATCCTTTGCATAAACGTCACTCAGTACAATCCAGTTACCCTGAACCCACACTGCCACCTGTTGCACCACACGTAGAAGACTGGCAGTATCTGTATTCATTTCCAGCAGCGTTGCCAACTGTGAGGACTGCAGTAACTTGGCTACAGCAAGAAATAAACACATAATACGTAATTTCGTAAATACTCAACGAAAAGAGATATATTACCTGCAGGTCATTCAAACTCTTCACGCAAAGTGAATACAATGGGGAAGGCATATTTGGCTGCATGTTTCATCTCTGACATTAATGAATAGATTTAGATATAACATGGTGTATACCAACTGCTACAAATTTTATTTTTTGTTCAAATCATTTGAAATGAACTAATACCAAAGCCAATGACCGGACACAGTCACAAGCCAGTTCTACTCACCTCCGACCCTCAACCCAATTCCCGGAGGCATTAAAAACGGGTGACTGCCACACTGTTGTACTTGAAGTAAAATCTTCAGGAACCTACGTTAAAAGTTGCTATTCCCACTGCTACCACGGATATTCAAAATCCTGCCACATTGGTATTACTGATGTTTGGTTATTATTAGACACAGACGGGCTGGCACGGTATTTAGCTTCACTGCCCCTAAGAACGTATTAGCGAATGTTCTGTTCGCGTCTGCATTACCGATCCTTCTGAAAATGTAAGAATGAACTGATTCCTAAACTTGAAGTGGTACGTTTCCAGTCTTCATAAAAACATTCTTTAGTCAGATAATGCCAAGTTTAAAGTTGCTCTAAGGTATGATTAAGATTTACAAAGTTACAGGCTGATATTTGGTATACCCATTTTTCACGTTTTCAGATCGAGAAACGCACTAATCTGGAACTTCGTTTATTTGTGTGCAGCGACCTCGTAGTTGGTGGGAGAATATCGCAGCAGCTCATATATGTGTGAATTCAGCACACGTATTGATATTCACTGACACGTATTTCCGTAAGTTGGCAACAAACCGAGATAGTTCGACTAATGTGAATAGGAAAGTTGGGGTTTGTCAGGAAACAGTTCAACTATAAATTACAATTGTAGGCCATATAGTATTACACTGTCTTCCGAAATAATATGTGCATTGATTTACTCGACGTTCCTTTGTTGTTCTAAACCAAATCATATACTGGACATCTTTAATGTTGAAAATATTTGGAAGTCACATCAACAAACGATTTATTCGAGAACAACTACTTTCCTCGATTTTTGAGATATCTAACACAATTTTTTAATTATTTTTTTTAATTTTACAGCATAAGATGAGTGTAATTAAAATGGAAAATGTTGTTGATGTTCAAAGTGAAAAAGATACCATTGGCATGGTATCGGATGAGGTTCATGTACAATCAGCACTTTCAGTAAAAAAAGATGAAACTGAGGTAAGCTTTCCTTTCAGATGAGCTTTTTTTTCTGTCCATTTATACACATGCCTGAGTGTTTGGTTTTACTGTATAAGTTATTATTAGCTGTTAAACAATTATAAAGAAAGAACATTACTTTACGTTTATAACCTAACTCTGATTTTCTCCTGTAGTGCTCCAGCCCTGTAAGAATAATAGCAAATTGCACTCTGAATTGGGTAGTGTACATATATTCATTATCTGATTTGCAATACAAAGTAACATAGACGCCTTTTTCAGGCTTGTAGAAGAACTGTGCCCCAGTAATTGTAAATAAATACTAAACAGTCAAAGATGTTACAAATTAAATGTAATGCATTTGTTCGTATTGGTATCTTGTTTGAAAGCATGTGTGCATGTGCGAACACACTTATGCATGTGTGTGAGTGAGATACATTAATAATAGTAATAATTGTGTTCATCTGGAAATTTTTACAAGTAATAATTTCTTTCAATTATTCATTTAGTTTGCTTTATGTCTTTTTTAGATTTATTTTCATATTACGTTTCCACTTACAAGTCTTATGATAAATCCGTTTTGACAGAATCTTATATTTTGGTGTGGATTTTTTGTTATGAATTTCAGCCCTGCCCCCCTTTATATTTTTATATATATATATATACACACATACTTACTGTAACAGTACCAGCAAAAGAAAACGTGTCTGTTCTCACAAACTATTTGGTAATGTACACTGTAATGGTATTGAAATGGTAGTTTGCTTATTGTGTTATTGGGTTATAATATATGTCCCTATATACACCGAATTACTTCTATAACACTGTCACTTGTTAAAATTAGTTAAAACTGTTACATGCAACAGTCAGTATATGTGAAAAATACATTTCCAATTCCATATTCATATTACACGTCTCATAATGTTAGTGTCCACTGAACTCCAAACATCCGTGGCGTTGTTGTGTTTTAATTTTAAGTTTCATATATTAAGGCAGAGATGTGCAATAGAATTTTGTGTGAAGCTCAGAAAGAGCAGTGAAGAGACGTTGAAGGTGTTACAGAAACAATGCGCCGAGCTACAATGTTTCAGTGGTTGAACCATTTTAAAGATGGAAACAAAAGGGTGGTTGACGACGCTCAAAGCGGGAGACCAAGCACCATCATCTGGAAGAGTGATGCTGATATTGTTTTTTGAGTCAAAAGGCATTATTCTTCAGCACTGGCTACCTCAGAAGCTAACTGCGAATGATGTTTACTATGCAAATACACTTAAAACTCATTTGGGGAACGCAGTTCAGAAAGCAGTGACCGGAGTTCTTGACGAAAATGTGGTTTCTGCTTCAAGACAATGCACAACAGCTTATTGCATATGTGGCGATGAAGGCTGTACCAGACATCGATGGACCACCAGTAGAACCCCCACCCTACAGTCCAGACCTTGCTCCATGTGATTTTTGGGCATTTCCAGCTCTTAAACTTGAGTTATCAGGGCAGACATTCAGCACTGACACTGCCATACGCAAGAAGTCTGGAAATGGCCTACTGCACGTGTTTGAGAAGCTGGTGGGAAGGTGCAAAAAATGTATAGCACGTGAAGGCCGTTAACTTCGGCAAAGAAAATGCCCGAGCCTCAGGAATCCTAAGATGGTGGGTTATGCGAGTAGTCGCATTACTTTTTCAAACTCCCCTCTTAAGGGGGGAGGATGTGAGCTGTTGGTAATAATGCTCATATAGTGCGTCAAAGATCAGGTTATGACTGGATGGATATTGTTCACAGTATATGAGGTGTTTCTCTAATAGTTTCTTTACAGACTGTTTTTATTATTTCCAAGTAACTTCTGTGTTGCCATAGGATTCTCCTGTATTTGGGATATGTTATTCATTACCTGATGATCTCTATTGTTCCATATTGAACATACATGTTCTTTAAACCTCTCTTGCAGCGTGTGATCTCTTTGTGCTATATAATTAGTGTGCAGTCTCTACAGTTTAGTTTATTTGCACCTCTATCATCAATTTTCTTTTGTGATTTATGTTTTTGGTGTTTTTTAAAAGATATTAGTGGTTTGGAAGGCTATTGCGATCAGTATTTTTTTAATTTTGTTATATACCACGTTTGTCTCCATGTGTGTGCAAATGTGGTCCAATTTTCCGTATGTCCGTTGTTTATTTGTGCTATTATGTTTTTTTATGTTGATGTTTTGTGTTCACTGTTGTTAAATTTGTTCCATGTCATAATTGTATTTTAATTTTCTTAGGTTTTTTGCCAAGTGGAATTTAATTTCTTACTTTCATTCTTTATTTACTAATGGATATTTTTGTTACTTGGTTGAACAGGTGATTTTCACTGTTTTGTGCTCTGTCGGATGACGACATGTTTGATGTACAGTCATGTAGGTCAAGCGAGTAGTGGTGGCATCTAAATGCATGATGTATAAGTCAAAAGAGGGGGGTTCGGTAGTAGTGGGGGTCGCACAGCGTCAGCTGCGGTGATGCACCTATCTCAACACAGCTAGAGCTACAAACCAACTAAAGCTGACACCCCTCTAATGCGTGCTTTGGAGGGGCCCATCTGATGCAACCAAAATCAGTAATTTGCGCAAATGCCAGCAGTTCTCGCGTGACCTATACTTATTACAGATGGCTTCCAGTATATGTTACGTAGTTGATCTTTGTGACTGGAATGTGTGCTATTTTCTTTGAGGCAGGTATTGACTGGATTATGTAATGTTCTTTATACGACTTTAAATCTAAAGGGTTAAGGGAAGAACATTCGTTGATGCTATTGACAGTTGGGTACAGAGCACAATATTTGGAACACTGAAGGAAATAATGGGGACTGGAGAAGACTTCTTAATGACGAGCTTTGTAATCATTTGTATTAATTATTATTGTTGTCACATCAAGGAGGATGAGTATGGAATGTAAACATTAGAAATGCATACAAGATTTCAGTTCGAAAACCTGAATTGAGGAGACCCCTTGATGGAGCAAGACATAGACGGGAGGATAATATTAAGATAGGACTTAAAGAAGTAGGATATAAGCACAAGGACTGGATCCTTGTGGCTAAGAATAGCAACCAGTGGCAGGATCTTTGAACTCACTCTGTAAACCTTTAGGTTCCGTATATGCAGGTAATTTCTTGACTGCCCGAGAACTAGTCTCTTCTGCGGACTTAGTTCAATAAGGAAATAAGACATTCCATTTTAAATGTTTCGTTTCTCTAGTTCTTCTTAAGGCTGTTGTTACAGCACATGCAGTAACACAGTTGTAATCTAATTGTTTCAGTCCTGATATATATAGACGCTCTTATGTGATGCTTACTGTAATTATCAGCTCCTCCAAGTTACTGATCGCCCAAGAAAGGTTATCGATCCTTGCTCTAGCCCTTTATTTTGCAAGCATGTCTTATTGCGTTATGATTACATTTTGCATGGAAATTGTAAGTGGACAGAATGTGGTCATGATCAACATCAGGTGTGGAGGTTTTGCATTACTTCATTTTGCTTAAAATTGTACCTGGTTCACAAAATGAGACATGTGTAACGTCTTCTTTCGCAGGTCATGGATATAAAGGATGAGGATTTCGAAGATTTACAAGAAGAGGAGGATCCTGTAGCAAATCTTCCATTAATAAAGTCAGAACTTGAGGTGAGTTTCACATTTTTATGCACTTTTAAGAAATATGTTGGATTACGTATTGTGTGTCTCTTGTCCATCTCCACATGAAGCAATTCCACTCAGGTGAATGAATATTGAAGTGTCGTTTAGAAAATGGTGCCAGAGGACTGAATTTTGTTGCTCGGTATTTATGAAATACCATTTTAAATTTCTGTTGCATCAGTTTTAAAACATGTGAAATTAAACATTGACCAAACTGGGAACTATTTTAGACAAATATGGCCCATTAATCTTGTATAATTTGTGGGCTTTGTATTCAAAATACAGCCTGGTATTAAATCTCTTATACATTTCACAGGAACTATGAATGTTTTAAGGTAATCATTTATTTCTTTTGTGTCTTGATACAAATTGTACCGATTTATTAGAACAGTGTTGTCATTTCTGTTACGCATCGTGAACGTAGTGATCTTGTTTAAAATATCAAATGATGGATCATGTCCAGAAAATCAGCAATATTAAATAAACTTCACCATCGTCAGGCTCCTTTAAAGATGTTCTGCAGCTGCTATTAGTTTTGTGCGATACAGTTGTGTTGATAATTATTCCTTTTCATGCAGTGAGAGAGCACAATCACAGTTGATAATGAGTATGGTTATTTTACAGGACTCCATCAATTTACAGAAAGTTGTACCTGATTCTTATAGTGAAACGAGTTTTGAGGCTTTTTATGATGACAATCAAGTCATGGATATCAAAGTTGAGGATGACGGAGGTGTGACAGTGGAGGAGGATCCTCTCCTGATACCATTTCCATTAATAAAGGCAGAGCGTGAGGTGAGTTGTTTGAGCATCGTTAGGCACGTAGCATCTCCATTTGTCTGTCCACATGAAGCAATTCCGCTCTGCTGAATAGATCTTGAAGGGTCTGTTGCAAACAAGAGCAAGGGAATTGTATTTGTTGCCTGCTGTTTGCGGAATATCACTTCCGTTTTGTGATAAATTTATTTTAAGACGTGTGATATTAAATATTGAGAAATAGAAGAAATGTTTTAGGCAGATGTAGCCAGACAAGTCTTTGACAGTTTTTCCAGACTTTCCAGTAAGCCTTGTCTCGATGCTATTAATTCCCATTGAATTCTATGCACATTTTTGTGGATCTGTGAATGTTTGTAGGTTTTCTCCTGCTGTCTTTTCTAGCTTTTCTTCCTTTCTTTCTTTCTTTCTTTAATTTTGTAGGAGCGTGTATCACTACAGTGACATAGACCTGCCATTTCCATTAAGGACCTTTATCAGGATAATTGATGACCCTCTAAAAATGTAATATTCCTTGATTTGTTAAATGACTGTGTTGGACATTGTTAATTTTCTGTTGCCTTGATTTCAAGACTCCATCAATGTAAGACACACTTGATTTAATGGTAGGTATTTAGAGGGGGGGGGATGCCACATCAAATGTAAAATGCATTGTCAGTATTCCTGTCTTTGGGTAATTCGTTGTCATTTACTGACAGTTTTAGATTAGCGGCAGTTTGGATCAAATGAGGTCTTCTCCAGTAAACAGAACACTTAGGTTTAAGTGCGCGTTACTCATTACTAGAATGAAAAGATAAGCTGAATCTTTGGATTACTGTCTGAAAGTTTGTCCTTCACAGGGTTATTACTGAATGATGAACAGATATACGTCACTCAGGGCCACCTGAAACTTACGATATGAGCGATTCTTAAATACACTTGTTACCATATCACTGTCAGGTGATTTTTATATGTAATTGTTTTGTATGAATGTCAGACATGTTCTCTCACTCTTAGGGAGGCACATAGATTGCGGGTGTTTGAGAGTAGGGTGTTGAGGAGGATATTCGGGCCTAGTAGGATAGACGATGCGGTATGGAGAAAATTGCATAATGATGAGCTTAGAAATTTGTACTCCTCCCCCAATATTATCAGGGTGTTCAAGTCAAGAAGAATGAGAAGGGTGGGGCATGTGGCTCACATTGATGGGTCACTGTGTGTTCACTGAGTTTTGTTCGGGAATCCTTAGGGGATAAGACCCCTGGGGAGACCTAGACGTAAATGGGACAATAATCATAAATAGGGATCTGTGGGAGATAGGAGTTGAAGGAGACTGGATTTTTTTCGCCCAAGACAGTGACCGGTGGAGTGCTTCGGTTAATTCCGTGATGAATCTTAAGGTTCCGTAAGCCATCTTGTTAGTTATATATAATTGTCCCTACCAATTCTGTAGTTATGTCTCAAAAAATATTTTGTTTCTGGATGTCAAATAACATTCTTCATAGTTAAATGTTCCTTTGATGAAATACAAAAAAAGAAGAAAATTATCTAAGATTTATTGTTTTTATAAAGGATATGAATTTCTGTCAAGTACATAACACATCACTAATTAGTTATGATATTGGTGGGCATAAATCTGACATTCATACAGTCACACTCTTACGTTGTAAACTAGAATGTTATGACATCATCAGGGTGATGAGGCATTGCCCCGATGACGGAGGCAGCAAGCACCTCTGAAACATCAGTAAACTTCTGTCAGATTACGCGGAAGACAACCTTCTTCATACTAGGTGCTTTTAGAAACTCAAATCTCAATTAATGTGTCATGACGTATGTAATTCATTACTGTTACTGTCTTATGTCTAGTTGGTATTACTTTTTACGTCATTTACTTTAGGTTATCTGTTGTGTTTAAATACTTGTGCTTTTATTTTCTGTAATGTTTGTGCCTCATGGTTTTGTAATTTTATGAGTTGTTTTATTTTGAGTGTGGTGTGTTTTTGTGTGATGTGTGTTGTTTTGTTTGTGTCTTATTGTAGAACCACTGCCATCGGGTATCAACCCATATGCAGTTGATAATAATAATAATAATAATAATACCCCATAAAGTGGTGAATAGATGTGATAATAATAATATTAAAAAATATCCTCCAATTATCTGAACGTCTCTAATTTATGTTCCTGTTTTCTCATTATCTGATATGTAACCAATTACTGACTTTGTGCCTTTAAAAGACCATGACACTTGTAGTTTTATCCATATATACAGGGTGTCCCAGGAGGAAAGGTCAATATTCTGGTCATAATATCGGTCACTCTAAGCAAAAAAGTGTATATGTACGTGTGTCCTATTTCAAACTGCCTCTCTGCGAAAAGATACACAAACAGGTAGGCAGGTTTTGTCACTATAGAAACTTGTATGGTACCTTACAAGGTAATTGGAGGTTCTGTTCAAGTTTAAAAAGTGTACCCCAATTTTAAAAAATTGATAGAATTTTAGTGATGTTACTCAAACCTTTGTAATACGATTTGTCCTAATATTGTTTTCAATTTGTTTGCTAGTTTCCTGCGAAAGAACAGAACATATTACAAGATGGTGAGCGTCCGTATTCCTGTAATGTGTGTAACAAATCATTCATTTATCGGAGTCATCTCAAGAGACATGAGCGTACACATAGTGGAGAAAGGCCATATTCCTGTAATGTGTGTTATAAGTCATTCAGCAGTGCAGATAGTTTGAAGATACATCACCGTGTACATAGTGAGGAGCTACCATTTTCCTGTGATGTATGTAACAAGTCATTCATTAGACAGAGTTATCTGAAGAGACATCAGCTTACGCACACTGGAGAAAGGCCATATTTCTGTGATATATGTAAGAAATCATTCACTCAACAGAGTAGTCTGAAGACACACCAACGTACGCACAGTGGAGATAGGCCATATTCCTGTGAAAAATGTAACAAATCATTCATGTATCAGAATAGTCTGAAAAATCATCAGAATATGCACATTGGACAAAGACCATATACCTGTGATGTATGTAATAAATCATTCAATCAAAAGAGTAATCTGAAGAAACATCAGCGTATGCACAGTGGAGAAAGGCCATATTCCTGTGAAGTATGTAACACATCATTCACTCAACAGAGTAGTCTGAACATACACCAGCGTATGCACAGTGGAGAAAGACCATATTCCTGTGATGTATGTAACAAAACATTCAATAAAAAGAATAATCTGAAGAGACATCAGCATATACACAGTGGAGATAGGCCATATTCCTGTGATTTGTGTAATACGTCATTTAGTCGGAAGTGTAATCTCAAGATACATCTACGCATCCACAGTGCGGAGCGGCCATAATTCTGTGATATGTGTAAAAAATCATTCGTTCAGAAGTGTGCTTTGAAGACACATCAACTTACACATGGTAGACAGCAGCCACATTAATGTGATGTATATCATAAATGATTTTTTTTAATGACTGATCTGTTCTTCAGTGTCATTAACTCTACTTGTTAATAGAATAATCCGATGAGTCAATACATGTGTGGGGTGCGCATATTCTTGTGATATATGCAAGTCTTCCTATTATCAGAAGAGTCTGCATCATGAATAAGACTTTTTCTTTTGTCAGAATGCAAATGAATACCTACTCCTGCACATTTTTTTAGTACAGGAATATTGTCCAGGATAGGAATAGTAATTGTGCATTTGAGGCAAAGGGCCGTCTCATTCTTGTGTTATACAATGATGAGCATCTCATGACGTATGACGTGATGTTTCTCGGCGACTAAATGCAATAAAATCTTCTCGCATCTCGTACTGTGTTATCTGTATGACAAGCATTCTTCAAACAAGCAAAACGTTGACAGCGAGGTCTTTTTGGTTTAACAATTTCTTTCAGTTTATTACTTCCAAAACATTTTATAACTGTTTCATTGGTATGGGGAATGTTATATAATTTTAAGATGTGTTAAGCATTTGTCATTTTTCTTATTTTCAGTTGCATATTTTACTGATAGTTGAAAATAATCATTCTAAGCTTCAGGTTACTTGCAGGTGAAACAGGAGTGTAAGTTGTAATGGCTTTGTTATAAATAGCCCACCTTCGGAATGCGGTACTTGGAAATGTCACGAGCAGATCTAAGTGACTGACATACGTGAATTTAGATGTAGAAATTTTTTTGTGTTTTGTGAAATATATCTTGGATATTATCCATCGTCTAGTAAATATAAAACGTAAATCGACGTTTAGGAGATGGGACTCTATCTCCGTCTTCAGGTTGCTACACAGTTGGGCCCACTAGATAGAGCTAATCCCTATCTCCGGACCAAAAGACGGAGATAGAGTCCAATCTCGTTTTACGTTTTATATTTACTAGACGATGGATAATATCCAAGAAAATTTTTATTCAATTGACTCTTCACCATCGTCAAGAAGTTTTAGATTTGATATACTATGTATGCTAGTTATGCTGTGCCCTGGTGTTGATCAACACTGCTTCAGGCTCATTCAGACTCTGCAGACAAAGCAAGAAGTAATTTTATTTTGTGGGTGTATTACCCCTACAGGAAAAAAAATCAAGATTTTATAATGCTGTTTCTCCTGTGGGGTGGTTAGCAGTGACTTTGAAGTAAGCGTGTCACTTCCCTGTGTTACATTCAGAATTACAAAGCAGTTCTGCAGAAATGTGTTCAGAATCCCTGTAAAAATTTCATGTAATTCTTAAAAAAGTCTCTCTCCACAACACTTGAACATAATTGTTCAGTTGGCAACATGTTTACTGTTTATAGAATGAATGTTGTATTTGCATGGCAGCCTGCCAGAGAGAACCAAGCTGTCATATGCCTTTATAAAAGTTTTCCTTCCTGACAGGGATCTGTGGTGTGGCAATGCAGATCATTTATGCAAGAAACAGTAACTACTGTAATGAATGGTAAGTAATGTAAAGTTGTCCCGCCTCAAGCGATGTAGGCCCTTGGGGGAAATGTGGTATAGATCCAACTAATTCTTAACCTTATAGGCTGTGAAGCCCTTCATTGAGCAATTTTCTCTGATACATTCCACTCCCATTTAGGCCCAAATATTTATCTCAAAATACTCTTCTAACAGTTCCTCAATCCATGTCCTCAAAGTGAAGAAAACCAAGACTCACACCCATTCATCACAACTGGCAAAATTACTTGTAAATTTTGAAGGGTTCAGAGACAGATGAATTCTTTCTGTTCCTTTTACCCGTTTATAAACTGTGGAAGGAAGTAGATCCAGATTCAGAAAGGTAGTGTTCTTTTTAAAAACACGATCGACATACTCCTGGAATTTAGAGATCCAGATGTCAAATCACACTTATTTCCTTTAAGACTTTGTTCTCATATTTGGTATTAGAACAAAACATTTTGGACTAAATAATAGCAAGCATTCCCTGAATTTAATGTGCTCTGATTTCGTCATGAATTGTCATTCTGACTTGTTAGTGTAATATATATTTTAGTGGCGTTTATAATTTGCGAATTATTCACCAGTTATTCGACTTTTACCATTACTAATTACAAACCGCCCTCATTCGTTACTACTACGAAATTGACGTTGCTGTAAGGACTACTAAATACCATAGCAACTAATAAAGGTCTCTTTATATAGGAACGTAAAGATAACGACACGAGCCCTTGCCGATTTTTCAGAAAATATTATTCAACGTTTTTCAATGGAACTCTTTATATTGACTCTGAGCTCGTCCGTTCCAGGAACGAGTCTCGCACAACTTACGCCTCCAACGATATTTTTCCTAAATCTCTTTCAGTTCACTTCCACGTCTCGTATGACAACGATCTTCTTACGTGAAGTGTTATATAATTTACAGTGTTTTCTTTTGAATTGTTAATATTCTTAATTTTTGAAATGGATGACGAAAAACTAATAGAATTGGGAAGATGAAATTGATTTCTGTATGACATGACGCACCCAAAATACATGGATCCAAGCTTAAAAAAATCAATTTGGAAAGAAATTGGAAGGAATTAAATTCAACAGGTAAAAAAATACGTAGTATTTATAGTTGTAAAGAATTTATTAAATTTTAAGAACAAACATTAAAATTAATTAATTGAATTTCACTGACCCTTAAATACTTATTAATCAATTACATTAAAATAACCTTCTGGTGAAGACAAAAATGATCTGAAATTTTGTCTAACTTGGAATGCCTGATGAGTCGTGTTTCCTCCTTGGTAATTTAAGTTTTGAAAGGTTGATGGCATTGCTGTGGAAGATTCTGTTTCTTCTGAAGGTGTGATGAAACCGTCATACTTCTTGATGAAATTATGAAGCACACACGTTGACAAAATGATATCATCGATATTATCCGGAGACGACTGAATTCTTCTCTTGTAAATCCTGAATATCTGGGAGAGAAGGGGCATTGGTTCATGCATTAATTTGCTGCACTATTGCTCTACACGTTTCTCGAATACACTTTTCTTTTAGGTACGCAGTGTAAAAGTCGGCTGATTAACATAAGGGATCATTTCAGGAGGCACTTGGGGGAAACGGACAACTAAAAGCGGTCAAGCTGCCCAAAATAACAAGAAGTATAAATACGAAGATATACTTCAATTTCTCTTACCCAACATAAGTGAAAGGCAAACAATATCGAATGTTCCATCGCCGGGAGAGAAGTTGAATTTCAATCAAGAACAAGTGGCAGCAGATACTCCACATTAGTAATTAGGAAACACAAATGCCACATCATTGCAGTCCCGAAAATATTTGAAACGAAAGTATGCGGCCACCGAATCACCATCGTCTTTATTAATGAAATATATTATTGATAGGAATGAAACTGAACGTAAAGACACTGAAGATCCGCTTGATGCGGGGTCACAATGAAAAAATTTTCTCCCTACTACCAACACGTAGCGAAAGGTAGAATTTTTTCTGTAGTTCAAGAGATAGAACTACGACAGTTACAAAATGAACATTCATATGCACCAGGAAGTGAAATTACGGCACCCCGTCCTCATTCTCCAGAAATGACTACATCATCAGTATCATCAATTCCAGATAACAAATCAAATATTTCAGAATATTTTCACCATTTTCAACAAACTTGTTTTTTTTAGAATCCTTTGTGTTAATAATATTTATATGTTAAAAAATTAAAGTTAATTGATGAAAGTAATTATTTTATTAAACTTACCTTATACATACCGCAAAACGTTCTCTGGGAGATATTGCTTTTTTCCAGTTGGTATTGTGCTTTATAGTCACGGGTTGTACTTTATGTAGAAGAATATTATGTGAATATTTACTCATCCTAAAATATTAAAAATAAGTTTGATATTTGTGCCAAAGCTGTTTGTACAGATAGTGTGTTGTGGGTTTGTAATGCGCATTATTTTGACTGCCCCATGCCTCAAAGTGAGGTTATACTCATTATTTCAGTTAATTCGACATAGCGTCGCTTATGAAGAAGACATAGAAGGCTAAAAAACAAAGTTATCTTCCTCGAGAGTTGTCTATCTTTGCGGCCTACAGCTTTTTACAGAGTGTGACAAAATTCCTAACATCTGTGGAAGGGTATGTTATACATAATTTAATATATTTTTCGTTATTCTTGTTAGTCACTTTTCACACATTCAGTTCACAGACCATTCACTATAACATTATATTTCTGTTCAGTGTGATCAACATTGTGTTGCGATTGCCCGTTTTTGTGTAACTTTACTGGGAACTGTAATTTCTCTTCCCAATGTGAAGAAATATTTTAATGTATTTTGTATGTTTGACATATGCTATGTTTGAAATCTGTATTGAATTCTGTACGTAGCACACACTGTGTGAATTTAAATTACTTACATATTTTTATGTTTAGCTGTTATGACAGGCAGGCATTAACATTGTCGTATTACTACAATTTTGCTCATATGCATTATTCAGAGTACAACTGTTTTCGTCGATTTTGTTTTATCTAACTCAATTTTATAATTAATTTTTAATTTTACAGCAGAACATGGGTATAATCAAAATGGAAAATGATGTTGATGTTGTAAGTGAAAAAGATCCCACTCGCATGGTATCTGATGAGGTTAATATACAATCAGCGCTTTCCATAAGGACAGTTGAAACTGAGGTAAGCCTCGCTTTCAGATGAGATTTTTTTCTGTCCATTTGTACACATGCCTGAGTGTTTGTATTTCCTGTATGAGTTATTATCATCTGTAAAACAGTTCTACTGTACCTTTATAAAATAACTCTGATTTGCTGCTGTAGTGCTCCAGGCCTGTAAGAATAATAGCAAATTGCAGTCTGAATTGGGTAGAGTACGTATATTCATTATCTGATTTGCAATACAAAGTAACATAGACGCCTTTTTCAGGCTTGTAGAAGGACTGTGCCCCAGTAATTGTAAATAAATACTAAACAGTGAAATATGTTGCAAATGAAATGTAATACATTTGTTCTTGTTTGTGTCTCGTTTTAAAGCTTATGTGCATGTGCGAACACACTTATGCATGTGTGAGAGAGAGAGACATTAACAAACGTAATAATTGTGATCATCTGGAAATTTTTACAAGTAATAATTTCTTTCCATTATTCATTTAAATTGCTTTACGTCTTTTTTAGATTTATTTTCATATTACGTTTCCACTTACAAGTCTTATGAAAAATCTGTTTTGACAGAATCTTATATTTTGGTGTGGATTTTTTGTTATAAATTACAAACCTGCCCATTATATTTTTTTCTTTAGATACTCTAACGACACAAGAAAAAGAAAACGTGTCTGTTCTCACAAACTATTTCGTAATGTACACTGGAATGGTATTGAAGTGATAGTTTGCTTATTGTGTTATTGGGTTATGATATATACACTGAGTTACTACTACACCACTGTTAGTTGTTAAAACTCGTTTAAAAATGTTACATGCAACAGTTAGTGTAATGCAAACAAGAATTCAGTTACAAAACCTGAATTGAGGAGACCCCTTGATGGAGCAAGACATAGAAGGGAGGATAATATTAAGATAGGACTTAAAGAAGTAGGATATAAGCACAAGGACTGGATCCTTGTGGCTAAGGATAGCAACCAGTGGCACGCTCTTTGAACTCACTCTGTAAGCCTCTGGGTTCCGTATATGCGGCTAATTTCTTGACTGCCTGAGAACTAGTTTGTTCAGCAGACTTAGTTCAGTAAAGAAATGAAACATTGCATTTTACATGTTTAATTTGTTCAGTTGTTCTTGAGGCTGTTCGTACAGCACATGCATTACCACAGTTGTAATCTAATTGTTTCAGTCCTGATATATATAGACGCTCTTATGTGATGCTTACTGTAATTATCAGCTCCTCCAAGTTACTGATCGCCCAAGAAAGGTTATCGATCCTTGCTCTAGCCCTTTATTTTGCAAGCATGTCTTATTGCGTTATGATTACATTTTGCATGGAAATTGTAAGTGGACAGAATGTGGTCATGATCAACATCAGGTGTGGAGGTTTTGCATTACTTCATTTTGCTTAAAATTGTACCTGGTTCACAAAATGAGACATGTGTAACGTCTTCTTTCGCAGATCATGGATATGAAGGTTGAGGATTTCGCAGGTTCACAAGAAGAGGAGGATCCTGTAGCAAATCTTCCATTAATAAAGTCAGAACTTGAGGTGAGTTTCACATTTTTATGAACTTTTAAGAAATATGTAGGATTACGTATTGTGTGTCTCTTGTCCATCTCCACATGAAGCAATTCCACTCAGGTGAATGGATTTTGAAGTGTCCTTTGGAAAAAGGTGCCAGGGGACTGAATTTTGTTGCTCGGTGTTTATGAAATACCATTTTAAATTTCTGTTGCATCAGTTTTAAAACATGTGAAATTAAACATTGACCAAACTGAGAACTATTTTAGAAAAATATGGCCCATTAATCTTGTATATTTTGTGGGCTTTGTATTCAAAATGCAGCCTGGTATTAAATCTGTTATACATTTCACAGGAACTATGAATGTTTTAAGATAATCATTTATTTCTTTTGTGTCTTGATACAAATTGTACCGATTTATTAGAACAGTGTTGTCGTTTCTGTTACGCATCGTGAATTCTTTCCATATGGGGGGCTAAAATTGAGTATGTAATAATAAACTTTGATGAGGAGATAAATTTGCAGCCATGGAGACTTTTAATTAAGGAACAAATTGTGTCATAACATTTTCTGCCTTGTTTTTGACTTTGTTTCTATAGACCCAAATATTCTCCTTTGCTCTGTCGTTTTGGCACAGCTTTGATTAAATGAAATATTTAAGAGGTTAACTTGACTTCATATATAAAAGTTGGCCGGGAGGGAGGAACGTTAATGCGTCACTCTGTTCAGTATTTCTGTCCTAAACATACAAAATGTAATTTCATTATTGTGTGCACTTTATTCATGCCGTGTACATTTAACTATCGAATAAACCCCGTAACAAAATTTGTTGTGACCATTGAGTATGTGCTTTCCTGTCTCATTACATAATCCAAGCCGTAATCAGTTGAGCCATTGTCAATGCTTTGGCATGAACATGACAAGTAAACTGATGCGGAGGTCTTTTATTTCATATTACATGGAGACTATGCTATTGAAGTGATATTTGTATTAAAAATCCTTTTCATGGTAATTATGTTGATAGCTATAAGGAAGGAAATCTTTATGAATCGGCTACTATGATTCCATGTTGGTGTTTTTCTAGACTTTGTCCATAGTTTGATATTCTAAAGCAGAACCGCTATGTTTTGAGAGTTGGCTCTGCTCTTGACTTGTGGTGAAAGTACCTATTCTGTTGGGTCCCATAGAAAAGTCTTATTAATCCCTTGGGATTAGTCCCTCCTATTGGACCAGAGCAGTTCTAGTTCCCAGAGGGTTCCGTATATGCGGCTAATTTCTTGACTGCCTGAGAACTAGTTTGTTCAGCAGACTTAGTTCAGTAAAGAAATGAAACATTGCATTTTACATGTTTAATTTGTTCAGTTGTTCTTGAGGCTGTTCGTACAGCACATGCATTACCACAGTTGTAATCTAATTGTTTCAGTCCTGATATATATAGACGCTCTTATGTGATGCTTACTGTAATTATCAGCTCCTCCAAGTTACTGATCGCCCAAGAAAGGTTATCGATCCTTGCTCTAGCCCTTTATTTTGCAAGCATGTCTTATTGCGTTATGATTACATTTTGCATGGAAATTGTAAGTGGACAGAATGTGGTCATGATCAACATCAGGTGTGGAGGTTTTGCATTACTTCATTTTGCTTAAAATTGTACCTGGTTCACAAAATGAGACATGTGTAACGTCTTCTTTCGCAGATCATGGATATGAAGGTTGAGGATTTCGCAGGTTCACAAGAAGAGGAGGATCCTGTAGCAAATCTTCCATTAATAAAGTCAGAACTTGAGGTGAGTTTCACATTTTTATGAACTTTTAAGAAATATGTAGGATTACGTATTGTGTGTCTCTTGTCCATCTCCACATGAAGCAATTCCACTCAGGTGAATGGATTTTGAAGTGTCCTTTGGAAAAAGGTGCCAGGGGACTGAATTTTGTTGCTCGGTGTTTATGAAATACCATTTTAAATTTCTGTTGCATCAGTTTTAAAACATGTGAAATTAAACATTGACCAAACTGAGAACTATTTTAGAAAAATATGGCCCATTAATCTTGTATATTTTGTGGGCTTTGTATTCAAAATGCAGCCTGGTATTAAATCTGTTATACATTTCACAGGAACTATGAATGTTTTAAGATAATCATTTATTTCTTTTGTGTCTTGATACAAATTGTACCGATTTATTAGAACAGTGTTGTCGTTTCTGTTACGCATCGTGAATTCTTTCCATATGGGGGGCTAAAATTGAGTATGTAATAATAAACTTTGATGAGGAGATAAATTTGCAGCCATGGAGACTTTTAATTAAGGAACAAATTGTGTCATAACATTTTCTGCCTTGTTTTTGACTTTGTTTCTATAGACCCAAATATTCTCCTTTGCTCTGTCGTTTTGGCACAGCTTTGATTAAATGAAATATTTAAGAGGTTAACTTGACTTCATATATAAAAGTTGGCCGGGAGGGAGGAACGTTAATGCGTCACTCTGTTCAGTATTTCTGTCCTAAACATACAAAATGTAATTTCATTATTGTGTGCACTTTATTCATGCCGTGTACATTTAACTATCGAATAAACCCCGTAACAAAATTTGTTGTGACCATTGAGTATGTGCTTTCCTGTCTCATTACATAATCCAAGCCGTAATCAGTTGAGCCATTGTCACTGCTTTGGCATGAACATGCCGAGTAAACTGATGTGGATGTCTTTGATTTCATATTACATGGAGACTATGCTATTGAAGTGATATTTGTATTAAAAATCCTTTTCATGGTAATTATGTTGATAGCTATAAGGAAGGAAATCTTTATGAATCGGCTACTATGATTCCATGTTGGTGTTTTTCTAGACTTTGTCCATAGTTTGATATTCTAAAGCAGAACCGCTATGTTTTGAGAGTTGGCTCTGCTCTTGACTTGTGGTGAAAGTACCTATTCTGTTGGGTCCCATAGAAAAGTCTTATTAATCCCTTGGGATTAGTCCCTCCTATTGGACCAGAGCAGTTCTAGTTCCCAGAGCGTAGTGATCTTGTTTAAAATATCAAATGATGGATCATGTCCAGAAAATCAGCAATATTAAATTAATTCCACCATCGTCAGGCTCCTTTAAAGATGTTCTGCGGCTGCTATTAGTTTAATTCAGTACAATTGTATAGATAATTATTCCTTTCCATGCAGTGAGCGAGCACAATCACAATTCATAATGAGTATGGTTATTTTACAGGACTCCATCAATTTACAGAAAGTTGTACCCGATTCTTATAGTGAAACGAGTCTCGAGGCTCCTTATGATGACAATCAAGTCATGGATATCAAAGTTGAGGATGACGGAGGTGTGAAAGTGGAGGAGGATCCTCTCCTGATACCATTTCCATTAATAAAGGCGGAGCATGAGGTGAGTTGTGTGAGCATTTTTAGACACGTTGCATCTCCATTTTGAAGTGTCCGTTGCAAACTAGTGCAAGGGAATTGTATTTGTTGCCTGCTGTTTGCGGAATATCACTTCCGTTTTGTGTTTAATTTATTTTAAGACGTGTGATATTAAATATTGAGAAATACAAGAAATGTTTTAAGACAGATGTAGCCAGGCAAGTCTTTGATAGTTTTTCCAGACTTTCCAGTAAGCCTTGTTTTGATGGCATTAATTCCCATTGAATTCTATGCACATTTTTGTGGATCTGAGAATGTTTGAAGGTTTTCTCCCTTTCCTTTCTTTCTTTCTTTAACTTTGTAGGAGCGTGTATCACTACAGGGACATAGACCTGCCGTTTCAATTAAGGACCTTTATCAGGATAATTGATGACCCTCTAAAAATGTAATATTCCTTGATTTGTAAATGACTATGTTGGACATTGTTAATTTTCTATTGCCTTGATTTAAAGACTCCATCAATGTAAGACACACTTGATTTAATGGTAGGTATTTAGGGGGGGGGGATGCCACATCAAATGTAAAATGCATTGTCAGTATTCCTGTCTTTGGGTAATTCGTTGTCATTTACTGACAGTTTTAGATTAGCGGCAGTTTGGATCAAATGAGGTCTTCTCCAGTAAACAGAACACTTAGGTTTAAGTGCGCGTTACTCATTACTAGAATGAAAAGATAAGGTGAATCTTTGGATTACTGTCTGAAAGTTTGTCCTTCACATGATTCCTGTCTAGGGTTATATTACTGAATGATGAACAGATATACGTCACTCAGGGCCACCTGAAACTTACGATATGAGCGATTCTTAAATACACTTGTTACCATATCACTGTCAGGTGATTTTTATATGTAATTGTTTTGTATGAATGTCAGACATGTTCTCTCACTCTTAGGGAGGCACATAGATTGCGGGTGTTTGAGAGTAGGGTGTTGAGGAGGATATTCGGGCCTAGTAGGATAGACGATGCGGTATGGAGAAAATTGCATAATGATGAGCTCAGAAATTTGTACTCCTCCCCCAGTATTATCAGGGTGTTTAAGTCAAGAAGAATGAGATGGGCGGGGCATGTGGCTCACATTGATGGGTCACTGTGTGTTCACCGAGTTAAGTTCGGGAATCCTTAGGGGATGAGACCCCTTGGGAGACCTAGACGTAGATGGGACAATAATCTTAAATAGGGATCTTTGGGAGATAGGAGTTGAAGGAGACTGGATTTTTTTCGCCCAAGACAGTGACCGGTGGAGTGCTTCGGTTAATTCCGTGATGAATCTTAAGGTTCCGTAAGCCATCTTGTTAGTTATATATAATTGTCCCTACCAATTCTGTAGTTATGTCTCAAAAAATATTTTGTTTCTGGATGTCAAATAACATTCTTCATAGTTAAATGTTCCTTTGATGAAATACAAAAAAATAAGAAAATTATCTAAGATTTATTGTTTTTATAAAGGATATGAATTTCTGTCAAGTACATAACACATCACTAATTAGTTATGATATTGGTGGGCATAAATCTGACATTCATACAGTCACACTCTTACGTTGTAAACTAGAATGTTATAACATCATCAGGGTGATGAGGCATTGCCCCGATGACGGAGGCAGCAAGCACCTCTGAAACATCAGTAAACTTCTGTCAGATTACGCGGAAGACAACCTTCTTCATACTAGGTGCTTTTAGAAACTCAAATCTCAAGTAATGTGTCATGACGTATGTAATTCATTACTGTTACTGTCTTATGTCTAGTTGGTATTACTTTTTACGTCATTTACTTTACGTTATCTGTTGTGTTTAAATACTTGTGTTTTTATTTTCAGTAATGTTTGTGCCTCATGGTTTTGTAATTTTATGAGTTGTTTTATTTTGAGTGTAGTGTGTTTTTGTGTGATGTGTATTGTTTTGTTTGTGTCTTATTGTAGAACCACTGCCACCGGGTATCAACCCATATGCAGTTGATAATAATACCCCATAAAGTGGTGAATAGATGTGATAATAATAATATTAAAAAATATCCTCCAATTATCTGAACATCTGTAATTAATGTTCCTGTTTTCTCATTATCTAATATGTAATCAATTACTGACTTTGTGCCTTTAAAAGACCATGACACTGTTGTAGTTTATCCATATATACAGGGTGTCCCAGGAGGAAAGGTCAATATTCTGGTCATAGTATCGGTCTTTCTAAGCAAAAAAGTGTATATGTACGTGTGTCCTATTTCGAACTGCCTCTCTGCGAAAAGATACACAAACAGGTAGGCAGGATTTGTCGCTATAGAAACTTGTATTGTACCTTACAAGGTAATTGGAGGTTCTGTTCAAGTGTACCCCAATTTTAAAAAAATTGATAGAATTTTGGTGATTTTACAGAAGTTGTTTTCTCTCTCTTAAATAGGATATGAGCCATTTTACAGCTATTCCTCGAATGCCTTCAAAATGTAATGATTTACACAGTCAGAAGCTTTTGCTAAATCACAGCAAATTCCTCTACCCTGCATTCTTTTATTATTTGTTAGTTTGTAGGCTGCGTCTTCAGTGGATGCAACTTCCTGAAGCCAGATTTTTCTGGGACCAGTGTGCGTGCGATGATTTAACCTATTGTACATAACATAACCTCACATACTTCCGAAGAAGA